GATTCAGTTTCTGAACTCCCCTTTTATTGAGATTCCTGTGTTAGGGTTCCTTATCGTAAATGTTGCCCAGGACCATCTTTTTTATGTCTGCTACATGGGAGCATAAATGCAGTTGTAATAACAGAGAACAACAGATCTCTGGAATAAAAATATATTGAAGGCTTTTTTTTCTGGACCAGCCTCTCTTCATTCCTAAACTTTGTTTAAGAAAAACATAGAGATGGTAATTGTTACACGTTTACTTTTTCATAGATGAGTCAGGAGAAAAGCAGGATTGTTGAGAGGGAATGCAGCCTGGAATTGCTGTTATTAATTTCACAAGCTAAAGAATAGTAAATAATGCACAAATATTTGTAAAGCACCATAGAAGTTTTCTTGGCTTGATGTGTGTTTTTCTGTGAACTAAAGTTGCTAGTTGGAACTGCTAACAAGTTGTTTACAAATGAATTTTTGCTGTTCCCCAGACAACTTCAGTCTTTATTCAAGTTCGCCCCACTCAAGTAATAAACACTTTTAATGCATTCATCAGTTTGTGTTTTAACTTTTATTTTGGATTAAGTCTGATAGTTTAAGGTGAGAACAGTCTTACAAAACTTCAGTAATTTGTTGATGCGAATTTTGAATGTTGTGTGTCAATTTTTTAAACTTTAAGTCCTACATTTTCTTTAATCAATTTTTGAGTGTTTGCTTCTAGGTAGGTTTAAAAAAGCCAGTGTTTACTCCCTGGCATAACATACTGGGAAAGACAGCATTTTCCTTTTCTTTCCTGTATCTTTTTAAAAGTTTACCAGGTTGTATTTCAGTGATTTAATAAGGGATTTTAGTTGGATTTTTTTTTTTACTCTCCATGTTTCAGCAGAGGTGTTTTAACAACAAATATGTTCAGTAGGTTTTGAGTTTCCAAAGAGATTTTATTATCTTATTTTTCATGGATTATATAAGGATGACATTGAGGAAGGAGAATCCTTCTTAGATAGTTCGGGTTATCTTTGTTAACAATTTTTTATTCATTTTTTAAATCAAACTATTGAATCAAATAATCAACATACACAATTTTACACCGCCTGAATACTTTTGTCTGAAACTTTACTTTGTTGTTTTGTTATTTCCATTTCCCTGAATAGCATATCATGATCTTTGATTCAGTAGAAAGGGAAAGTGTTATTTGAATTAAGATATTTGCACACATTCATTTCCATTTGTCATTTGTCTTCATAATTCAGTTGCAAGCTGAAAGTTCAACTGTTCTCTTTAGCAAGAGAAAAGCTTCTTAGATCCAGGCAGATTAGAGTGGACAACATTGTTCCCGCTTCACCGTTGTTTGTCTTGCTCTCTTGCAGAATTAAGGTTATGCCAACCTGGTATTTTTCAGGCTTGTTAAATCTCAATTCTCAGTTTCAGTGAGATAGTTGAGAAATTAATCATGTTAAATTTGGAGCTGAAATTTGTCATATTCATTTTAATTTTGAAAGCAATTAAATGACTGAGAACTTGACCTACTCTCATTGCAAGGTGGTATAAATGTCATCTTTAAAGTTTAATAGAAATCTAGTTTGATATGGCCAAAGTGATAACTATTAAACAATTGTTTATTTTCCTACTTAATGCCACAGAATTTCTCCTGCTATTTATTTAAAAACAGCAGCAAAAAAAAACCCCAACTCTTTAAAATGATCCATTTTCCTGCAAATAAATGTAACTATCACAGGAATTCTCAAGCATTAAGAGATTTTTCAGTTTATAATTGGCTTAGGATACTAGGTGGAGGAATGGATTTGATGTAAAATGTTCCCATTTATGTTGATTATGATCTATGGAAAAGTAGGCAATGAAGTAGAGTTTGAATGGATTGACTGTTTTTTAGGTGTATGAGATATGTGAATGTTACCTTTGTTCCCATGCTATGATAGAGTATTATTTCTCAAAGACCTGGGACTGGTTTGGTCTTATTGTTGGTGCACAGGGAATTAAGCAGCAGGCAAAAAGTAAATATTACAAAGCTGTTTCATTCATAGCTTGTGCTGAATAGGGTCTCCAACAGGGGAAAAATTGGACTTGTAATTAAAGATTAAGTTGTGGTATACAAATATGCTTTAGCATCTTCTGAATATTAAATGTTCCATTTTGCAGTTTCAGGTATTACAGATTTTATATGAAAAATGTATATAAAAAATCAGTGGAATAAAAATCCATTTTAAATTCCAGAATTACTGACCTAGTTTCTTTTTCTTTTGAGAATTTAATTTTTAATTTCTCACAATGCACGGATAAAAAAAACACTTGAGTGCTGAAATTCAGCTGAAATCATAGGGTATGTTTTTAATAGGGATGTGGCTTCATTCAGGTATAATTTTGTTTCTATTTTTGAATGTTGAACCAATGTTGTTACAGTTTTGCAGGACAAATTTGTCTTGAGATATGGATTGAGGAATTGGATGCCAGAGATGTAGTTAATAACTGAATTTTTTTTTTTCCTAAGGTTAATTGTGTTACTTAAGACAAAAGAAGGAGTGAAGATCCTTAAGTAGCAGATGTAGCCTCTTTTCCATGTAGATCATCCTCTTTTTTTTCCCCTCATATACTAACAACCAAGAGGATGTGGCTGCTGCAGATAATAGCTGTTCATAACTTCTAGGGCTATGAGCATGATCTATAAAATAAGCATTTATTCTACAAAACATTCTATGTAGCTTCATCTCCAGCCAGAACTAGGTCATTCATCTAATTCTGTGTTTAAATAGATATGAAGATGTATACCAAGCTTTTATAGTTTGGGGAAGTAAAATACCCTTCATGTTTCTTTTAATGATAAATTGTGAAATTACTGTGCTTTATGTTTGCTGTTTTCTGCTACTATCACTTCTTCTAGTATAGCACATTAAGTTAAATCAATCATTCACAGTTTTACAAACTTTGACAAAAGCCTAAATGGAATATATTTCAAATGAAAAAATGCAGATTAAATATTGATTGATATTAAAAAGCTGACACAGATTATTTTGCAGAATGTAAAATAAAGCATTGCCTTAAAACTTGTGTTAACTCAAATAAAAAATGGAGCATACAGCATGAAGTGAAGCATAGATGAGAAACTAATACATTTAACAGTGTTAATAGGGTTTTTTTTTCCAGTCTAACAAACAGATGAAAAGATGAACCGAATCATTCTCTTGTATGTCCTTTCATTTACTGAGCTTCAAAGTGGTTGGGAGCAAGTAACTATATAGCAGGGAATTGTATTGTTAATAGCAGTCCAAATGGTCATTTGATGTAATGCTTTTTTATGGGAGATCAGAGTGAAAACAAAAGTAGCTACAGATTATATGGAACATACAACTATGGGAAATTGGATGGTCATGTACTGCAGAAGCAACATCAGAGAGTGTTTTCACAAATGAGTTACAAAAAAATCTGGGTTGGTTTTTCTTTTCTTACAAGTATTAATGCTTATAAGCTGGCTAGTCACCTTAATTGCTGCTTCTGAATTTTTAAACAACTTTATTTCATTAAACAGGAGAATAATGGAACAGTTGTGACTTTTACCAATTTAGTGGTAAATATTTGCTGAATTATTTCTCATCTTATGAAATAGTAGGCTCACAGAAGAGGAAATTTATTTTCTCATGGAAATTCTGCATTTATTTTTTTACTTGCCTTTACAAAATTTGTTGTGCACAGTTGGATGACATTATTTTTGTGAATCCTAAAAGGGTTCCATCAGTTTTTTCCCAGCAATGATTAGTTTAGTCTGCTCAGAGGAAAATGCTCTTTGCTGCTTATTCATCCCTATGGCAAGATGCTTCTGCAGCAAACCACAGCAGATTGAAAGTGATGCACTTTCTGAGGAAAAAACATGTATCTGAAATAATTATAAACCTATTTAGCAGTGTTATGTTAAAACTACATTGAAAGTTTGCATTACTCAGGATTGATACAAATTCCTGTAAAAAGATTGGCTTGAGTAATTGAAGCAGTAGACTTTAACTGCTACATGAGCTAATGTTTATACTTAGTGCCTCTGGAGGGAAGAATAGTTTGCCATATATTGTGTGTTTGGTGGAAAGGACATGCATCATCTTTCCATTGTTTTTGATCATAAAAAGAATACTTGCGAAAGTAGAACTGTTTTATGAAACAACTTTGATGTATTTATGAGTATAATGTGGGGGTTTTTTTATGTATACACATAGACTATAATTATAATGCCATTTAAATTAGCTTCCTAAATTGTGAATAACATGGGCTGTGTTTTCCATAAAATATTACTTCCAGTTTCTTTTTTAAGTACAGTTTTTGTGCCACTCAACACAACTGCTAAGGGAACACATGTGGAGCCTTAAATATTTTTTACCTCAAGTCCTTTATAGATGGGATATAAAAGCACATTGTATAACATAATAAATTGTATGGAAAGGAACCACATGTTTTCCAAGTAGAAAAAAAATGCATTTTAGTGATCTGAATAGTATGTTTATATCCATCTGGCATGCTTTAATCCTGGTTACTTACCTAACCATTCTTACAATTCCTGCATCATTTGTCAAATTTTCATACCTCAGTGAGAGCTTTGTCTACTCTGGGAAAATTTGTTGCTATTTAGAGTAAATAGGCTTTACAAAAAAAAGCTAAAGCTATGAAGATGCCCCAGTTCCACATTTCACTCTGTGGATTTTTATTTAGAGGTAATATAAAATAAACCGGTCATTTTGCTATTGTAGTTTGTAAATCATAGAGACATATTTTGTTTTTAAAGTTCCTTTTCCCACCTGAAAGCTCTATGTATGCAGAATGTATGCATATCACTGCTATGAAATGTGAATCTCACAGTAAGATGCAGAGATCCAGAGAGCCAGGGGGAAAAAGGACCAACCACCCCTCCCATTCCATGAAAATAGTTTCTTTGTGGTGTTTGTCTTCCTGAGGAACTTCCTGATACTTGGATACTCTGTCGTGTAATTGGATTGTAGCTCTTTCTGAATACTGTTTTCTGCTCTTGACAGCATGGGGTAACCTTGGAAATGTTCTCAAGAGCCAGAGCAAGATTTCTGAAGCTGAAAGCGCCTACAGAAATGCCTTGTACTACCGCAGCAACATGGCCGATATGCTTTATAATTTGTAAGTATGTGTGACTTTCCTGGGCTTGGATCATCTGTGAAACCTGTTGTGAATGGAGCTAATGGAGCTATTGATTTACTTGCTGGAAATGGAGATGATGTTATACTGTTGCTTTGTAATAGTAATTTCATTAATTGTGCTCCTTGAACTATGGGGTGAATGTGTATTCATTGATTGGGTATGGAGAAGGTAAACTTATGAATCTGTTTGCTTTAAAAAAGAGAGAAAAAAACCCCACACTGAAAAAAGTACAGATAGATGAGCTGGCAACAGTAGCCCTCCGTCTGTTTCCGACTCAGCTAAAATGTAGAGGTGTTATTTAGACTTCTTTTTTAAGTCTGAATAATACTTGGTGGGCAGAGTGGGTGTAAGCACTTCCTAGCATAAACCAGTACCCCTTGGTTAGCTCCAGAGGACTTAATGTTAAAATAGCAAATTGCTTTTCTCCTGTGATTGACTTCAGAGCAGCATAGGTTCAAGCAAGTTTAATTACTAGAATATTGTTGTAGATGGGTAAAAGAATAAATACCATGAGCATCAAAATAATTATACAGCAGGGAAAAAGATTTCCCAACTCATTAATACACCACATCATGAACACTGAAGGTAGTGCCATGCTAAGCTTCTCCCTGAGGCAAGATTGTGCTGCATGCCCCAGCAGGGTGGAGGCTGATTCTCTAGGTGTCTTGGCTGATCATCTCACCATTTCCTGCTCATCACTGCTTATCATTCTGGCCCTGGCCTTTTCTTCCCCTCCTGCCACCACCCACACAGCCCAAGCCCCCAGAGCGGGGCTGTGCTGCAGGATGAGCTCATCACCTTCAATAGCCATGAGCTGCTGTTTCATGATGTGTGCAGAGAACAGAATCATAGAATCATAGAATGGTTTGGGTTGGAAAGGACCTTAAGATCATCTAGTTCCAACCCCCCTGCCATGGACAGGGATGCCTCACACTCAGCCATGTTGCCCAAGGCTATGTCCAACCTGGCCTTGAACACTGCCAGGGATGGAGCATTTACCATTTCTTCGGGCAACCCATTCCAGTGCCTCAGCACCCTCACTGTGAAGAACTTCTTCCTTATATATAACCTTACATACTGCTGTTCATTGCGTAGTAGCATGAAAATAATGTCCCGTGTGAAAAGTATCTCTGTGAGACACATGTACAAAAACTAAATGCAAATAGTAAGCCCCTTTAAATAAATAAAAAAATAATATGTTCTGCCTGTAAGTCTAGTTTAAAATGGTCATTTATAATGTCCAAAATGAAATTTACCATAATAGACTTTTTTCTACATTTTTCCATGTTTAACAAGGAGCAAGTTGCCCATTTCATTAATTTTCTGTACAGTTAAATATACTGGAAGCTTAAAATAATTTAATAATAGAATTTCTGTTCCAAAATCAAACTACTATCTGAAAACATGTATATTTTTAATAAACATCAGTTATACACATACGTAATTTTTTTGTCTGTTAGGCAGTAGAGAGTGTGAAAAGCATATTTTTAAGAAGAAACTCCTTCTGCTTACATTTAAAAAACATCTTCTGAATCCAGCAGAAGATGGTAGGGAGAAAAGTGACCAGATTGATACTCTTTAATTTCTTATATGTCATTCTTTTTGGGGATGAAAATTATAACTATTAAAATTTTTGTATGCCTATACAGTACTTTAGTTTCTTACTCTGTCATGGAGGGAAACTGAAGTTAATACTAGGGTAAGAAGACAAAAGGGGTTGGGCGATAAAGACAGGGATGTAAAAGAAAGCAGATTTCGATAGTTCTGCTGGTGTCAGAACAAGCTGGTAATGTTCCAGCTTTACATTGACATATACCTACAAACTTTGATTTCTGTCGAATAGAACATTTCTTGGAATTCTACTGAATTTGTGTAAAAGGAATCTAACTGAAATGCTGGTTACAGTATGTAAGGCATGATGTTACCTTGTATATACCTGTGAAAGTGAAGTATATTCAGAGGGAAGTGTTTGCTATATAGTGTGTGTATACATATGCTTATGCAAAAAAGGGTTTCTAATTCTTAAGCTATTAGTATATTAAATACAAGAGAATTATTTCCTTTTCTTTAAAAAAAAAAGCTTCACACAACTGTTAGTTATTCAGCAGAAATCGAAAAATCTTGCATCATTTTATTTTTTGTTTTTGTAGTCTTTCCATGTGTTGGATACTTCCATATCTAGCACGAAAACTAGGTGGTGAATGGAGTGTGCTTTGATACTACAAGACCCAAATAAATCAGTTATTTTAAGCATAAACTCTGAAGAGCTCCCTTGCAAATTCAGCCCAGCTTTCACGTGCAGTTCTCTGGGAGCCTTTTACAAAAAATTCTGTAACAGAAAAAGGTGTCTTATATGTGCTTGCAAGAGGCCAGTTAGATTTGCTGTTCCTGGTTTTTAGTGCGTGTCTTTGAAACGGAAACAGTCATTTCATGGAACTTTAGGAAAAAAAGCACCCTTGCAGTCATTTCTAGTTACTGTATTTTGGCCGTAAAATATCTGATGTATATTGTAGTCTCACATGCTCTTTACTGGTTTTTATCTTACATCTCAGTATTTGATACAGATTAGTTGGCACATGCTGATGAGTGTTGACAGACAGCAATACGAAAGTGCTATCTGATCGATGAAAAAAATAAGGATTAACTCACAATTTGTAATGGGTAGTAAACAAGAGAGAAACTACATAAACAGAAGCATTTGATGATCTCTCTTTCAAGAAACTAAAATGTGACATTGGCTTAGCAATTGCCTATGAATGTGTTTAAACATAGAGGATTTAACACATTAGGTGAATGGCTGATTTCAGTGGTATATTTTTATTTTCTGATTATTATACCTCATGGCTCTGAGTTACAGCTGCTTTTGCCATTTAGGACAATTTAAACCACATTAATTTAGATTGCATAATTACATAATCTCCATTTGAAGGTTTGTCTCATTCATGTCAATTCCCATAGTGTTCAGGCATGTCCATTCTGTAACCTTAAATAAATTCCTTTTAGAGACCAGCAGAAAAATGTTTATTATTTTCATTTATAAAAACAAAAGAGGGGAAAAAAAGAAGGGGGAAAAATAAAAAGAAAAAAAGCCCCTGCTAACATTAATACTGGGTTGGAGGTTCGTCAGTACTTTAGATATGGGTAAAAATGGGTTTGTTCTGCTGACATTTTCTCAGGTCCAAATAAGTATAAGTGAAACATATGCATAGATATACCTCAGGATAGTTGTGACCCAGCCCGTTTTGTAGATCTGTGCCTTGGAACTTACAAAACTTGAGCTCAGACTAAGGACTTGAATTCTTGTCTGGAAGCTTGTTTTCTGAAACTCACATGAAAAACTGAGGGTAAATTCCTGCCAACTCTGAAAGCATAGGAGATTTTCATAGCAATTTAAGTGCAGAAAGGATTTCAGTTGTTGTTTTATACTGTAAAATGGAGATTGTATTAAAAAATGACTTTAATAAAGTAGTTTGTGCTTCAAAAAGACATATACAGTGGCCTCCTATGAATAACTTCTCTGACATCTTGGGACTGCACTGCAGGTAATTTTTGCAAGTAAATCTCAGAGCCAGATTCTCAAAGCAATGTAGGACTGCTGACTTCAGCTAAATTTCATAGGGTAGTAAATCAGCATAAACTGAGATTTCTTTCTATATTGTTGGGGTTTTTTAACTGAGAAATTCATGTATTTCAATATTGTGAAGTACCAAGGACAGAGCTGTAGAAAAACAGTAGTTTGTTCTTCCAAACTATGCAATGATTAAAACCAAACTATTTTTAGCTTGTTTTGACTTTTCAGTCTTTGTTGCCTTATGATTGTTAGCTAAAGCTCATGGGTTTTTTTGTATCGTTTCACATCGCTTCTAATTAATGACTAAAGTAACATGGCTTATCATGCAAAAGACAGTTTTGCGTACATGATTTCACTTGTATTTAAGCTTAGCTATGCTTAGTGTATTCTTTTATGATCTGTATTGGTAACCTACGTTATCTTGAGTTTCGAAGGACGTTCACAATCTCACATAAATATTGAATTTTCCTTTAAAATTACACTAATTGCTTTAAATGTTGTAGTTTTGGAATATACAATACCCTATAAATGATAAATTTCTACCAAACTTCCATCCCCTTGCTTCTCTCCCAAAACATCCAATTTTGCCTTTAGCGATACAGGGCTGTGTGTACAAGTATGAATTTCCATAAACTTAACTTCGGTGAACTTAGCGTATTATGTCAATAAATGTGGATTTTTTTTAGATTTCTGTTCAGTAAAGTCTTCAGGAGTAGCTGAAATTTTTATTCTGTAAAGTCTGGGATTGCAGAAGTGGTTTATAGTCAAATTTTAACTCTGAATCCTTGGATAAAAATCAATATAAGCAAATTTCTTCCTTGTCTCTTGTTGTTAGCCTATACAATATTTGAAATTGTGTCCCCTCTGCTTCTGTGTTTTAAAGGTTCTGGCATAAAAATCTCCTTTGCTGAGCTATCAGAGATGAAAAGCACTAAAAGCATGCTCATTTACAAACCTATATTGAACTGTGTTTGAACCTGCCCCAGACAAAGTTGCTGCACCACTTCATGTCACAGGAAATGAGTCAAGGTTATGGTTCCTCTTCCTTGATAGTCCAGAAGTGGTTTTTTCCATGCAGGATGTTGAGATAAAAAGCCAAGAGGATGCATCATCTGCTGTCAAAATACCTGATTATTTTTTTCTTAGCTGTGAATGCAGACTTGTTACAAACCTGGTTGGAATTAATCTCTGCTTTGCCAGCTAGTTCTTCCTTTGTCAAAGACAGTAGCTGAAATGTGTAGAAGCTGCCTTAATAACATCTTGCTATATTGTGAGACCGGCTCTTGAGGTAGCGCTTCTGTGACCAGTGGTGTCCTCTGGCGCAGAAATCTGCTCCAGGAGTCTCTGTAGGTCCTGTATGAAGTACAGATATTTTTGTAAGGTTGAGAGCTGAAATGCATTCAGTGAC